TAGGAGTCATTATTAGAGAAGATTAGATGATACTAAGAGAATTTTAGTGTTTTACTGTGAATGTTTGAAGTGCGAAATTGCAGAGGCGGCTAGCTAGTGAGAGTGAAGTTTTAAGAGAGGTTTTTGGGGAGTGTGTGTGTGTGTGTGTGTGTGTTTGTTTGTGGAGAGAGGGAAAGCAATTGGTGGAAAGTGTGGATTTGTGGAGGATAAAGAAATTGAGGTGGCCCGCCCAGGCTGGTGAATGTTTGTCTGCTTGTGAATTTGGCTTCAATTTTTTTTAATAAATACAGCTCTTTGGGGTGTGTGCATGTGTGCGTTTTTCCCTCTAATCTTTGCAAATTTTTCCCTCTAGTCTATTTTTTGACAACTAGTGTTGCTACCCGTGCGATGCACGGGATACAATATAAACAAAAGAAATTTTTTTATTAAATATTATTAAATTATTTAAGATAATATGTCAATTCTTTTCGACACAACATATGAAGTCTGTAATAGTATAATATTTATTTAAATTCCCCACCTTCTTGAACATGGTGTTAGTGAGATCAAATAAAATATTATAAAAGTATAAGATTTAAAAAATAATGATTGTATATCAGTTACTTGCATATACTTATATTATTATTGATTATATCAATCTTATAATTTTTTAGCAATTCATTTTGCATATTGCTAGATACTGGCCAACGTTTAATTTATAAAATTATTTTTTATTTATAATCACTCTAATTGCATGAAATACTAACTTATGATAAATAACTTTTAATTTTTAGTAACCTTTATCTCTTGTGCAACGCAAAATTTTCATGGTAAATAATTTATGTTGTATTTTAATATTTTTTGTATCTATTTATTTATTCAATTCATTTAACTCAACATATATAATAATTTAATTAATAAGAAAATTTAATAAGTTTATATTCCAATGACTATAAAATCTTATAATTTCAATTATTATTTAACTATAGAATTTTATTTACTCATTGTTCTTCATAAAAAGATAAATAATAAAAATTTTATTTTTAACACTTTGAATAGTAGTTTTTGTATATTTAGATATTTTAATGTGAAAATTATAATTCTTAATTTTACCCGACGAAAAAAAGACAATTTCTTAATATATATTCATTATATTTTAGTTTATTCATGGTTAAGTTGACTATATTATATAAAAGTTATTTATATTTTCAATCTTTCATTAAACTAATATAATTCAAACATAATTATTTTTATTATTTTATTATATTTAAGTTTTTTTGATTGATTATCATAATTCATATCTACAACCATGAGATGATAACAAAACTAATCACAATAATTTTTATAATTATAATGGGTATTTTTTTTTAAAAAAATTATGTCATCAGAAGTATTATGAAATTGGTATTACTGGTCTTATTCAAAATATATCTAATCAATCAATCATTCTATTTTAAGTGTGTGTGTGTGTGTGTGTGTGTGTGTGTTAATGTGTTAGTGTTAATTTTTTTAATATTTACCCAATCGTCAAAACAAAACTTGTACTAATACATTTATATCTTTGGGTATATTATTAAAACAATTAATTTATCTTCACATATTTTTGAGACAAAAATTTATTTCAAGCAAAAATTAGTTTAAATATTTTGAAAGTTGTACTAATACATTTATAATTTTTAATATATTATTAAAAAATTTAATTTATCTTCACGAATCATTAAACCAAATTATAATTAAAACAATAAATAGTTTAAATCTTCTCAAATTTCTTAATGAACTAATCAATTTTAGTTTTATGTAATAAATAAATGTCTAATAGTAATTGCCAAATTTAGCTGAAATATTTAGGCAGGAAAATTTGTGACAAATATAGTAAAATTGATTGATCCATTATATAGATATAGATTTGGTGTAGATGTGGTAGAAATGTTAAACGTAGCCCTGATGGTTTCGGGTTAGTCTTAACGGGCTTCGGGCTAAACGGTCCGGGCCTAAAAAGCCCGGATTTAAACGGGCTACCAATAAAATGACCTAATCTTAACCCTAGCGGGCTTCAGGCTAAACGGCCTATTATAATAATAATATAAAAAAAATATAAATAAAAATTACAACGGCTAGTTCACGATTGTTTTCAACGGTTATTTAATATTTACCGCTCCATATATAACTACATTTCATGTATGAACGCTCATTACAAACTCTTAAGTAACATGTTTTTTCAAAAGAATAAAAAAAAAAAGATGTTCGAACTATTACTTATAATTACCATTTTACTACTTATTTTTGTACGCTTTGGAAATTTTCACGATATTGTAATTTACTGTTAGATTTATATTCTATCACTATGTTCTATGTATTAGGTCTTTGTCTCATTTATTTTCTATTAGTCGTTCTAGTTGGCTTAAATAATTTTGTGTGAAGTAAAATAACGATATAGTTAATAATTATCTTTCAAAAATAATAACTCACTACAACTCATAGTTACATATAAAGTAGAATAGTGAAGTTGTAATATACGCTAGGTTCGATACAATTGACGACCTTAGGGAGAGGAGCGAAGTTACAAATTAAACGGGCTAGCCCTAGCGGGCTTCGGTTTAAATGGTCCGGGCATAAAAAACCCTGATTTAAACGGGCTGCTAAAAAAAAGCCCTAACTCTATTTTTTTCCGGGCTAAACGGGCCGACCCGTCGGGCCAAGGACCGTTTAACATCTCTATAAATGTGTAATCTTCCTGGTATATAAAAGAAAATTTATGTGTGGCTCAAAGAGCGGACACATGTTGAAATGTCAATTTACAAAAAAAGACCATGTGTATTTGTACTTTTTTTTTACAAGAAATGGAGGCAAAGCTTACACAACGCCTAAATTAGAGGCGGATCCTTAGCCTCTCCGTAGGGCCTAGGCCCCACCTGGAATATTATATTCTATTACATATATTTTAGTAAATATATATAAATTGAGTAATTTTAATAAAATAGTTTATAAATGAACTTGTTTATTAGGTATTTTTTTTCTTCTTACATATTAAAATTTTCTTATTGCAATGTCTTATATCTTTAAATAAGTATATCATGACTTTGCATACATTAGAATAATTGCAGGATTAAAAAATTATTATCAATAAAAAATCATGTCAACAATAAAATCAACTAAGAGATGAAATTATAACAAATTGTTTGATCCAACTTATATTGCTCTCCTACCCACATACTAGTATTATTATTTAAGGTAGACATATATTGTATAACATGTGATTGGTCAATCATGAAATCTTGGCATATATATAATATTTGCAGTTGTTAGATGAATAATTTTGTATTGATAGTAAATCAATTGAAGTCATCAGAATGAATAATAATACTGAAATATATAATTTGTAGGGTGTTTTAACATTTCATTGTGAATTATTCAAAAGAAAAGTAAATAAAATTTATATATAATGGTAACTTTGTATTGGAAATAATAGATAACAATGGAGAAAGAGACACTCAACAAAATTCACTTTTTATTTTATTTAATATTTCTCTCAAGAACAATAATATGTAATACAAAGCTCAAACAAGTTCTTTGGAACTTTGTCCAACAACTCTATTTCCTCCCTCTCTTTGAAATCTTTAGGGAACACAAAATGGAAAGGAGTTTTGGAATTGATCAAGTCTTCTACTTTCTTCATAAGATTTCACAAAAGAAGATAAGTATATATATAGGTGTCATTTGTCATGTGTGGTTACAAGTGTGAGAACTTAATTTCACAACTCATCTTGTTTAATGAGATACATTAATCTCATTAAGTTATAACTTACTTAATTAATTCAAGATTAATTAAACCCACAAGTTTCAAGTTTAATGTGAAGTGAAACTTATCCACATACATTGTCTTGAAATTTATCCTACATGCATATTGTATTGAAACTTATTTTACATCCATGCATTGTATAACTCAATTTCACTCATGCATGTAACATATAAGTTCTCTTACACCTTTGTATGTAACATATAATTCATCTTACATTTATTTTAACCAAAATATAACAATCCCCCACTTGGTTAAAATAAAATCCAACATTATAACCACCATAGTGAAAATGCATAAAATAAAGTATCTTTCGATTTGAACTTTACCTTAGTGTAATCATCAAAAAGCTTCGTCGAAATCCCAGGTTGCTTGTAGCATTGAACCAGTTATTCCTTGTGACAAAGCCGGTGATAACACACACATTCCACTATTCGACGA